TTTTACCTGTATCACAGAATTCTCCTAACAACATGGCAGGCATGAACAATCCTCCCGGCACTCCGCGGGACGACGGCGAGATGGCAGGCAACTTTTTAAACCCATTCCAAAGTGAAAGTGTGAGTACCAAAAGGAGACAACATACTTCTTAAGCTGGGGACAAACAAAACAAGGACATACAAATCATATCTGACTGTGATAAGGTAAAGAGTCAGGTTTTTAAATCAAACATTTTGCTTTGGATGACAGTAGTATCTGCACAAATCCCTGATGATAACTTGATCAAACAGCAGTATCACATTTTTTATTTGATAAACATATTAATGTTTTTAATACAGTTGTGATTTATCCATGTGGTTTGGGACTCAATTAAAGCATGCAACATTTAAATTGTTAAAATGGAAATTGTCCAAGGTGACCTGGGGCCGGTTTAAAGTAGAAAATAGAATTTCACTATTGCTTATCAAAATAAAACCCAGACTCAAGATAGATTTGTTTCTAAATGTGTCTCTTGCACAAAGCCATGAGGTTCTTGAAGGACATTAAAAACTGACTGAGATACCACTTTAAACGACTCAGCTACAGTATGTTCCCTCTTCCAAAATGTTTTTGCTTTCAACAGTTATAAAAACATTTTCAAGAGAATAACACTGCTGACCAATGTGAACTACGTTAGTGAAATCAGCCCCATGCTCTATTTTGACCTTAAAACCAGTCCTCCTGGCTAAATTGAACCGGTAATGAGTCCTTTATGTTGTGCAATATTTCCCCATCTTTACCCAACATACACAAAAACACAGCATGCACAAACACAAGCATGAGAAAGAACCACATCATATGCTTTCTCTGCTGCATGGAGAGATTGTCATAGAGTGATTAATACGAGACTGACAACGACTACATTTTGCCACAGTCTCTTCACTGTGTTCTCGATTCCTTAACATTTTCTCCTTGGGCTGCTTTGCTTGCTGCTGGTTTAAACACTTAGTCAGGGTTAATGTTAATGTGTAATGTTTGCTGGACATGGCATTTAGTTCAGTTAGTTGTATTGATTTTATCTTGAATTGGGTAGTTTAATGATATAGTTTTGGCTTATCTTTTTTCCCCTCCCTTTCTTTTTCTCCCTTTACAGTATTCACCCAACATGACGATGAGTGTGTGATTTTTTATTTTATTTTATCTTTTATTTTATTTTATTTTATTTCCTTTTCATCTCCCCTTACCCAAATCTTCCCCTTCCATCCACCCTGGTGCATCTTGCATTACCTTCCTCTCTCCCTTCCTACCTCCTCCTCCTCCTCCTCCTGGTGGATGGTGTGCCACACAGCCCCATGGGATGCACCTGGAAAGCAGGACTCCCCTCAAGGCCCCCCATCCCAACGCCTGTAAAATGGGTTTAAGAACTTGAAAAGGCCTCCAAGCAACAGGAAGGGTCTCTTCTCCGATTCTTCTTCGCCTGCCGGGCCTCGACACGGGCCCTAGGACAGAAAGAGCCTGAATCTGCTCCGAGCCTGTCTCTCCCAAAACCTAAAAACCTGCCCTCATGGGTGGCGATCACACCCAAACACGATGCCCCGCTGTACCACCACCACTCCATTATATCTCGCTGATCATAACTTATAAGGACACGCGGTTGATGACTGACAGGGGCCGAAAACCCTCTTTCAAAAACTCCTGTGTCAGGAATGATTTAAAAAAAAAAAACAAGACAAAAAACATGAACTGATAATGTTATTTTAGGGCAAGAATGGTTTTCTTTTTAAATGTTTGTATTTTTTTGTTGTTGATGGTAATATTATTGTTATAATTTTCATAATTGATATTATTCTACTAATGTAGTTATGATTTCCTGTAAAGGGCACATTTTATCTCAGCAGCAGCATCAACAATGACAGAATAAGCACACTCATTTGAAAAATGCACAATGATTTTTTGTTTACATGATTTAAGGCTATTTGATGTTTGTCTTGTTTTTGTTGTTACAGTCTATCTCACATCACATACCTCTCCTTTAAACTAAACTGAACGTGTAGCTCGAGTCTTTGCCACTTTAATGATTGTTGCACCATTTGCATAAACATTTAAAGTGATCGGGATAATTCACTGTCTTCGCCAATTAAAGTAGTTTCTGATGTAGTATTTTGGCTAAAAATATCCATACAGTTAAAACAGGCTTTCTCAGAGCACTGAATGATCATCTAGCTATCTTGTCTTAATACGCCCCCCTTCTCACAGTTTTTACTACATGGGAAAAGCTCTGAGGGCCAGTTCTCATTCAGTATCCAACAGAGCAAGAGAGCATAGCATCTCTTCTATGGATTTGTCTGTAAATACAACATATTTAGCGTGTATGGTGGTTGTTTTATTTGTTATTTACAAGTTGTCTGTGAATCCTAAAACGTGTTTCCTTCCCCTCCATCACTTTGTTTGATTTCAACCTCACTGTGGACTCCCAAGTGGCACTGTTTTCCTCCCAGGGTTCATTCTGGTCTTCAGGCAATGCCCCCTTTTCTTCGGACTTGGAGATAAATGTAGGACTTCAGATACACTTGTGAGGCCGCCTGCTTTCTTGCTTGGATTTTAGGGTGAACTCACAGATCCTGTATGATACACTTTTTTAACCCAGACAAGACAGGCTAAAAACAGTCTCCTTGGAGCTCCCATCGATCAGATCCTCTCAACGACTCCCATATGTTCGGGAAAGTGGATCCAGAGTAGCGTCGATGATGGGAGCAGAGTGATGCACCTCGGGGTAAACAGACTGCCACATCGGTCTGAGGAAGAGGAAACAACAATGGGACGCTTTTGTAAAGGATATTTCTGTTTAGTTTTTTCAGCAGATTGTTTTTATTTTTAATGTATTCAACTGAGAAAAAATGAAAGCCCGTAGAATCTGCACACAAAGAAAATCATAGTTACATATTACGCTATTTAATTTCTTTCTGTATGTTATGTTCTCTTGGCCTGATCTACTCTCCGTTTCAAAGGGTTACGTTATCTCTCGTGGCATCACACTGCAGCACTTAATGGCATTGCTGTGTTCAAATCAACAATAACTAAAACAACCATTGTAGCCTCTATGGGTGATGGTGACGTACTTGTCAATTTTCGGATATCAATGTGAACAGATTGTACCCAGAAATTCAACAATGACATCTCCAGGATTTGGCGATTGGTGGCCTGGGACACACTCTCCAGTGTTCCTTCAATGTAGCCACACACACCTCCCCATCTTTCCTCCAATCCCTCCCCTCGTCCCTACCAAACTTCTCCCCTCCCTTCTCTTTTTAATTTCCTTTTTTGTAAATACTGTATAATGCATTTTGATATCATTGACATGTTTTGATATGTCAGTCACTACCAATGAATACAGTTGAAAGTAAATTATAAATAAAACTGTCCATGTTTTTTCATAGAGAAAGGATGACTATTTGACACATGTGGCTACATTTCCATTCAAATGTATAGAATACAGTCGACACAATAAATGCAGACTGTTTGCTAAAGACTCGTAGGTGGGGAGGACAGGACAGACAGAAGCAAACTGTGGCGTCCTCACTCTGCCCTCGACTCCTTGTGTTTCAGTTTTACTATTGGCCTTGTTCATCATTTTTTTCAAAGGGCATCTTCTCCCAAAAAAAAACATGTGACCTCTTACTGCAGTTTTTAATATGAAGGATTTTTATCAATTTAAGAGAACTTTTAAAAAGGTAAAAGTACTTAAGAGAACCTCATTTTAAATTAAGAATAGATCAAAAAGAAACTGTGTCCTTTGCTATTCCTGTTATAGCGTTGTATAGATAGAAGCTCTCTCACTGATCCTCTCTCAGTCCTCTGTGTATATCGATCGTTGGCCATCTCTGTACTTCTATTGTGATGTATAATACTGTACCATTAGGAAGATTTGCTGGTCGGGTGCGGGTGGTTATGTTGAGTTGGGGAGGGGTGGGGGTTCAAGGGAATGGGATATAAATGATTCTCCTGTACCATTCATGGTCCTTTCTGATGACACGGCAGTATTCAATATGAAGCAGTCTGTCTCTTGGGTTTGCTTTGTATTTTCATGGTAGGATAGTTCAGAAATCTTGTCTTAGGGACTTAGGTGTCTTGTGTAGGTAATAAAGATGTTCTTTGTATGTTTCTTTATATTGTAAAGTTTCTTTAGACTGAAAGAAAAACAGATGATTTGCTTATCAAAAAAGAAACAATGCATCAATAATAAATGTAATTTGATTTTTCCTTGTTGTCTCAATCTCTTCCTCTGAGCTCTCATTTAGCTTTCATCCGCTATCCTATGTAGTACACAATAGGAATTTAGTGCAAAGGAAAGGGCCAAATATTTTTTTTAAACACGCTTTTCACAATGTGGAATAATATATTACTTGGTATGTCATTATTGTCAACTAGACTAAAGCTAAAAAATCAAATCAATTCTGCTATAGATTCAATAAACCTGCATGATATTCCTAGAAAATGTATGGGTTAACTTCATGCAACTAAAAGGTTCCCTGATTTAATTTTTAGCTTGTTACTATTTCTTTTCGGGCTTCAACCTTTGCACACGTTTCAAAACAGTTATTATCACTGTTTGATTTAGGCTCTCAATTTTGTAATTTTTTGTATTATACCAGTGGGGTTTTGACTTTAAATAACACTCAATGATTCTGCCACACATTTTGAATTTGCATTAAGCTCCAAGCTAAAAAATATGTTAAATATAAACGATAAAGTCACTGTACATCCAGCTGCTACACTATCGGCATTTTGCTATTGTTGTGAGTTAACAGCATTAAAAGACACTCATGAATCCATGGTGGATGTAGTCACAATTAGGCTGAGTGTATTATATACTTGAGATATAAGTACAGAGGTTTTTTATTGAAAACTATCTGCAGTCGTCGGAAAGCACACCCATGAGGTCAAACATGAATATGCATGAAAAGGTCCAATAGAAGTCCACGAGCTCAAGGTTAACAGGAAGCAGATTGTTGGGATGAGCTAGAGACAGCAGCGAAGTCAGTTTGAGGTTGAAGCCTAGCAACACATACGGGTCACGTTGATCTCGCATTGCCCAACAGCAAGCTGACTTCATCAGTGTAACCTGGAGGGGAGATTGTACAGGACCAAAACAAGCCTCTGTACAGATTGTGCTTGAAGGTAAAGTGCCGTTTCTATTGTTAAACGTGGTTATCAAATATGTCGCTCTGAATGACTCGCCCTATCTGAAGTCGAAGTAGGCACTGGTTTATTGCAAGATGAGATAAAAACAGTCCCTTAATATCTACTACTTACAATAGCTAGCGAGATTACAGCTAATGCTAGTTTGCTATTGTCAACTTCCTCGGCTAACGCCTGTTAGCATGCTGCTAGCCTCTTGAGGAGCCGTTGTATAACTTGACAGAAACTTCTGGAAAACGTTGGCTTAGCTTGGCTTCTATATATCAAAAAATAACAAAAATACTGCTGTTGAAAAACTGTTAACAGGTGAGTTGTTATGTGTGTAATGTGTTAGCTAGGTGATAACAATACGCAACTAAGTGCTACATTGTTTGAGATGGCAGTCGTTTTTATTTTAAATGCTGTGATAGCTCTGTTAGAAGCTCACTGATGTATTATTATAGACAGAGGTGAATGAAGTACTCAGATTATTTACTAGAGTAAAAGTAGCAATACTACACGTAAAGTCCTGCATTCAAAAGTATTAGCATCAAAATATGCTTTGAGTACCAAAAGTATTAATTATTTTAAAAGGCACATTTAAACAACACAATTATTGTATTAAAAGTATTGCTGCCTTAATGTCACTGTAATGCTGTACCTCGGAAAGATTGGGTTATTTAGATAACTCTATAGGCTATTGTTTAGCTCAACCTATAATAATATATGATGATGGATGTGTCGATTCAGATTTTGTATTAATGACCTCAATTTGCAAAGAACTAGTAACTAAATATCTAAAATAATTGTTGTGGAATAAATAGTACAACATTTGCCAACAAATCGTAGTGGGAGTAAATGTATAAAATGGCAAAATACTCAAGTAAAGTACAAGTACAACTTTTTACTTATAAGTACATTACTTGATTCAATGTAATTAGTTACATTACACCACTGATGATAGAAGCGTTACATCTTTGGTAAACACTGCAGTCATGAAGTCAATGAAGTTGCATTCTTCCTAAGTTGTTTTCCTTTTTTCTCATAGTATTCTTCAAATGACGGAAATAGAGGAAAGCATGGACTCCTCTGACAGCCATGACAGCGCGACATCAGGGAAGAAGAGCGGACGAACCTCGTTGCTGGACAGCGGGGAGGACTTTGAGGTTTTAAATGAAGAAGATATTGACGACGAGCCCCCTCCTCTAGAAGATGCTGGGGGTGGGAAGGGGAAAAACACAGATGAGAGGACTAATGCAGACACAGATTCTGATCCTCCAGGTCCAGTGGAAGAATGGCTGGATGTATTAGGTAGGTGATAAAGCCCCATGAGTAACAGCTTAGATTATAGCTGAACATATTCCTGTAGTAATTGTCGTGTCACTTGGTTTACCATTTAATATTGATGAGCAGCTCACCTCAGCAAGAGCGGAAGTCGTTGCGATTCTCTTTAACAAGGCTAAAGACTCCCTGGAGAGTGATCAATGCTGTAAACAAAAATAAATATGACTTTGTTTGTCCCCAGGTAATGACCAGCTGAAGAAAAAGGTCCTGGAGGAAGGAAAAGGGCGAGACAGTCGCCCACAGAAAGGACAGAATGTCAAGATTAATCTCAGAACATGTTTAAGCGATGGGACACTTGTAGAGGAGCAGTCTGACCTCTCTTTTACTCTTGGAGATGGAGATGTCATCCAGGTAAAATGGACCATACTTTTCAAATGGAAAAGTAAAAATGGACTGATTTCACAGTCACAAAAGGTTTGACATAGTTTGCTTTATATTTCTGACCTCAGTTAGTTTTTCTTACTCAATGAAATTGTTCTTTCAGGCTCTGGATCTCACAGTCATGCTCATGGAAATGGGAGAGAAGGCCCTCGTCCAGGCCAATGCAAAATATGCATATGGTGAACGGGGGAGGTATGGACGTGCTTTAAAGTAACACTGCTAAAGGCTGTTTAAACTGCAGTTTTCATGCAAACCAACAAAACATGTATGTATTGTATGCCCCTTGTAGAACGTTGGGATTGCTTATAGTGATGAAAGGTGCTTTACTAATCAAATGTATTATTATTATTATCAACATTTCCCATATATTCAACGAATTTCCACCATTAACAATATCTCTTACAAAAAGGCAAGACAATGGTATTCAATAGGCTCTATATACCTACACAACTATACATTAAACGTTGCTTTTCCTCTACCTGTTCAAATCTATTACTGCTTGTTATTTCCTACTGAAGCTTCTATTAAAAGACAAATTCCCTGTCTCTGCTTACTCTCCAAGCTCTAACAATTCCTTGTGTCTCATCTAGAGATTGATGCCACTTAATTTCTGAATTTGACTGTGTTTCCTTATCTTTTCAGTCTTGAACCCGAGGTTCCCCCCAATGAAGAATTGTCTCTAGAAGTGGAACTACTGGAAGCTTCTGATGCCCCGGACCTGGAGCTGCTGCCCCCTGCAGAAAAAACTGCCTTGGCCATTCATAAGAGAGAGAGAGGCAATGTTCATTACCAGCGTGGGGACTATGCTTTCGCTGTGAATTCATACAGCATTGCCTTGACCATAACAGAGTCTAGTTCTAAAGGTGAGAGAGCGGGGGATTTGGGTTTAGGTGAAACGTTTTCTGTCACCTAGCATTGGGATAAGGAGGCGACTAACAGGTGGGGGAACTGAAAGAGTTGATACTCGTGCATTTTTCGAAGTTTTTGAATCCCCCCCTCAAAAAAAGAAGGGCTGTGTGTAGAAAAAAACAATATCAACTACCTTAGACGGTGATAGGCAGGGAATATAACTATTCTTCATTAACTTTTATAATGCATTGATTGTCTTGATACCTTATAACAATTATTTTAAAACTCTTTGTTTGTGTGATTTCTTTTGCTGCAGTTGACATTACTCCTGAGGAGGAGAGTGAGCTGATGGATGTAAGAGTGAAGTGTTTAAACAACATGGCTGCCTCTCAGCTGAAACTGGACCACTATGATGCAGCACTTAAATCCTGTGTCTCAGCACTGGAACACCAGCCAGACAACATAAAAGCACTTTTCCGCATGGGCAAGGTAAACATCACGCTTTTTCTTTCACTGTCATTACATTACATTGCATTTAGCTGACTCTTTTATCCAAAGCGACTTACAATAAGTACATTCGACCAGGAAGACACAACCTTGAAGAAAACAGAGTCATATAAGTACATCAGGTTTCATAGAGCCAAACATTTCAAGTGCTACTCAACTGGCTGTAGGTAAGCCAGTCCTTTATTAGTATAAAAGTGCTTCGTTAATAGTTCTAACGCTCGAAGTGGAGTCGAAAGAGATGAGTTTTCATTAAAAGTCGGATTTTTCTTGAACTTTGTGTTGTTGTTTTTTTATCAAGGTACTAGCCTTACAAGGGGAATACGCAGAAGCCATTCAAACTCTGAGGAAGGCACTGAAGTTGGAACCAAGCAACAAGGTACTATTGGGCTTTTCACATACTATTTTGGTAAATCAAACCTTTTAGTATGGAGAATTTGCAGTTATTCCCTATCACCAGTAGATGGTGCCATTGGCTAATCATCAAATCTCTTAGTTTGTTGTGCAAGGTCAGGTGAACTGCTGACTCATCATTTCAGGGGATCTGTTTTCATGTTGTTGCTGTAAATAGGTCTGCCCTGCACCCAGCCATATCTAATACCTAGCTACTGTTCCTGCTGCTGCTGCTATTACAGTCGGGTGTATGCAGTACTTTGGACAAACAGGGCCGTTTGACAGAACTGAGCTCAGTGCGTGTGCTTTTTGGATTCGTTTTGAGCTGCAGCAGCATGGTACTCGTGCCCAGAATCCCCCACTTGAGTCCTACACCAATCTGTCAAACAACACATGGTGTGGCCACCACTTAAGCTTTATTACATTTTGCAATAATGCATCCTAGGTAGATTGTAGTTTTGCCTGTGTGGAGGCAATAAAAAGATGCATGTCATTTTTTCCACTTTCTGGCTGTTGTGTCAATGCCTTTTATATACAGTATATGGTCAATGCATAGCTGTAAATGTTGTGTATGTGAGATGGCTCTGTGTCAACACACCTTTAAACCTATAAGATTAGCTGTTTAGCTGTCCAAATGGACTTACCTCCAAGTGCTAATGAAAGCTCTCCCTTAATAACCTTGTATTCCAACAGCAAGAACAGTGGGTGTGCTTCAGGGACAATGCCAGAACTCTCCCATTATAATCAATGAGGCGGTCTCAAACTGAAGCAGTGACAGGAGTGACAGAAAGACACTCCATCTCTCTTCTCCAAGCTTTGAGCATCATGCTGTCTGAATTTGTTACTCTGGTGTCGGCTGTTTATACCCTCAAACTCAAATTAATGAGAGAAAATGTATTTGTCTGGGGTTTGTTTACTTTTTGGCATGACACGCAGGCTTGACAGTTCCAGTTTAGCCTCAGATGCTGCTAGGACAGGATGTTATATGTTTTTTTACCCTATTTAGTCCTTGTCCTTGGGAGTCAGTGTTCTGTCCTTTTTGTCTTTTTGATGGTTAGCTTATTGCATAATAGTGGTGCCAACTGTTCAAACACTTTGCTGAATAAAGGGGAACAATGAATTGGATCCTTATCAAAATGACAATGTGGAATAGTTCATATCAAAGTTGCTGGGGGCACACTATTTGTAAAAGGCATGAATATGTGTCAACGTATCGTGGTTCTGCAGAGATGTCTACAAATCATACAATCTGTTCTGTACAGACAGAAATAGATTTCTGTGTGGTACAGGTCCTCCCAAGATATCACAGCATGATCACTTTAATATGTTCTTTAAATAATATGACGGATAAATCCTCAGGGTTTAGACACTCATATTGATTAAAGGTAGACCTTTCTTAAATACCACTTTAGTGAACATTACTGTAAACTCAATGCTATAGGGCCCCATCACTGGGGGGCATTTTACAAAGCATAAACATTTACATTGTTTCTAAAAACATTGGTTTGCTTAGTCACTCACCAGCTTTAAGAGCGAAGTGACTCAGATCGGAGACAACGTTGGAACAATAATTGAACCCATATACTGGAATACAGTATATGTACATGTCGTGTCAATGGCAGGCTATGTTTGTGATTTCTTGTAAGAACAAATAATTTCCCAGCATTTATTTATACTAGTGTTTAATCGATGCTTCATCCATCAACGCTTCATCCATATCTTGAAAAGCTTTCCTGATATGTCATTTGTAAAGCTTTCCAGAACGCTTCTGTTTGTTGATGTAAGTGTATTGTTATTTCACATATTTCCATTAACAAAGAAATCATACCTAGGTTGTTTTACAGCAGCAGGACTTTGTTCCTTTCATGTCGGGATAGCTAGGGTGTGTTGGAGATTAAAAGGGATAACTGGTCCGCTTTTCAAATCTCCGCGCGTTCCTATGAAGCTGGTTATAATACAGGAAGGAATCCATATCTACAAAGTAACCGTTAACAATAATCTACTTTAATGGCAATATGACAATGCAAGCGGAGATAAAGCAAGGTTTTGAGTTGAGGTTTTTTATTTTACCTGTAGGTATGCAGTAAAATTACAAGGTATCCAATCCATCGTGAAACAGGTTTAAAACAACACAGTCAGACACATTTTTAAGAAGTACCCTGTGTACAAACAAATGAATATGAAAGCATTGCTTCCACAGCACCTGAGCAATGCTGCTACAACCTGTTCATCCGAGTGATTGCTGTTTTTACGCTGCTTTGTTTTACACCTTAGGATGTCGATCTGAAGCCTTTGTCTTGTCTCTTCTGTTCAGACAATCCATGCTGAGCTCTCCAAGCTGGTGAAGAAGAACTCGGAGCAGAGAGGAGCCGAGCAGGCGCTGTATAAGAAGATGCTGGGTAACCCCGCTAGTAGTAGCAGCAGCAGCAGCTCACAGAAACACCGGGCCAAGTCTTCATGGGTGAGAGTCATTGCTGGGGAAACAAATCTGTTCAAGTGTTTAAGTGCAAATGGCTCTCCATCATCATATGATGCTCATGCGTTTAAATTGGTGCTTTTGAATTGATGTATGTAATTATCAAGGGAGCCTTTGTGCAATAACAAGTTAAGTATAAAAATGTTAAGTCAAATTCATATTTTACTTTAGATTTTGACTTTTGACAATTCTTAACATTCTTTCTCTAGTCTTATTTTATTTTCTGCTACTTCCCTAGGGTCTCAGCTGGAAATGGCTCTTCGGTGCCACTGCCGTAGCCCTTGGCGGTGTGGCGTTATCCGTCGTCATAGCTGCTAGAAACTGAACCAAGTCTGTGCTGAGTCTGACCAAGCCCCTGCAATGTGAGCCTCAACACAGAAGCACATCTCGCAGCCTTCTGATCTTTGGTCGAGGGGGGGAGGAAATGTCTGTTGGTTGGTCAGATTCCTCTCCACTGTCATTTGTTTCTCTGCTATGTTTGAGAACGAGTTGAAATTAATAAAACGTCAATATTTGCATATGGAAACTTTCTAAATGTGTAGGTTTATGCATAAACACGCTGCCAGACACTGCTTTCTTTTGCTGCCATTGTTTATGTTCTTGGTGGTAGGAAATTGCTTAATGATCATCAAAGTGTAAGATACTTTACCATAGATCAAGATAGGAGCTATTTAATCATGTTTTCCCATTAAGGAATAGCTGTTGTGATATAGTCCTTTTGTTATGCTATAGTTTAAAACGCCAGATTGTTTAGGTAAATTAATATTTACTATCCAAGAGAAAATATGTGATTTCACTTTGATTTTAATTATGGTACAATGTTTAATCTTGACTGATGTTAATGCAGATGTTATATTAGAGGTCCACACAATGGCAATCTTTCTGACTTGTATGCTAGCTCTTAAACACTCTCTACAGACTCTATTTATATGTTAAGTGATCAGAAAATAGAATGCACCGGTCCTGTAATGCAACACAACAGCACACACATTTTTTGTTGACTGATGCCAAAGTTTTTTGTGTGTTTTTAATCAATCTTTGTGTTTTGATCTGAACATTGAATCTATCTAAGAAAAAAACTATGAATGCAGTAAAACACAATACAACAAACTGGAGCCCGAGAACGTACCAAGGAATGAAATCATTGCGTTTCTGACGCTGTCAACAGCAACAAACAGAAACATAAATCAACATCATTGCTCCAGTGTTTCTAAATGCTTGGTCACAGCTTAAATAGATGTTCTTTTATTGAGGTACAGTTTTAACACAGAACAGAGGAGCACATCGTTTCTCTGTGATGTGGCTATGAGTAACGCTAAAGGAGAGTTTATTTATAATAATTCAGTTTCTATCAATTATACCTCAATTTTTGATGATTAAGACCAAATGTTGAAGGATGACCATTTAAGTACAATGTTGGGTGTTTATTTGTTCTTTCTCTCTTTTGTCCTCTACTTTTTTGCCTGTGAATATTTTTTTTATTTTGGTGTTTATTCCATTTCTTTTGGTTATTGTTTTCTAACACAAGAGTTGAACTGACACTGATGGATCTGTGGCTTCTTCAGAGTAGATTGCAGGCCTAAAGAGCCAAAAGTTGCATACAAATGAAGTAGTTGTGAAAGTTCCCAGCATTCCCTGTATTTGTTAATTTTATATTCATCACAATAAAATATGTCTGTTATCAAACTACAGCCTCTTTTTTTGTGTCATATGACAATATGCAGTGAAATTATGACAATGTATGTTGATTTTAACTACATCCTGAACTGATATCATGTAGAATCCATAGCCCACAAGATGCGTGGCGTTTATGCCTCATACAACTGGCAATAGAAGAAATATAAAAGTGAACCAGTTCCAGGTAGACACATCTTTCATTTAAATACGTGTTATATTTATACAGAAACTCAATCATATGTGTTATTAATAAAGACAAGATAACAAACATTCAGCATTTACATTCCTCCTATTATTAGATTACAGGTGGACATTCACAAATGTTGTGGATATTCCCAAACTGGAGTTTTTTAATTGTCTTCTTCAGACATTGACGTTTCGCTGACGCAATTAGATGACCTATCGTTTCCCACTTCCTATGCATCACTGATGTGAAATGCCCATTCTTAAAAGCCGTATAAAAAAAATGTATATTTGTTGTCATCCATAAATAACTATAACATATAATTAGAAAATACAATGCTAGTATATATTTAAATGGTTTTCTCCAAATTAGTTGTACATGTAGACAAGACATGTAGACATGTAGACATGTAGACAAGACAATGATTATTAGTACATTTGTTTAGGTCCATTCATTTTGCATACATGTCATATTATGTATTCAGAAGTGTAAATGTAGTTGATATTACACATGTGACTATATAGGGCTTCATTACTGCTCGGTGACTTCATCATCATCATCATCATCGGGGACCAGTCACTGAATATTCATTAGAAAAGCAACGGGAGTTCTCGCTTTACGACAGTACGAGTGCGTCCGTGCGCATGGTGGTGAACGGTAGCAAAGATGGCGGCGCTGAAGGAGGAGCAGTGCTACGGACTGTCCTGTGGAAGAGTGAGCAACGGTAGCAATGTATCCGTCTTTCACGTTAAACTCACTGACAGCGCACTGAAAGCGTTTGAGGGATATCAGGGCAGCAAGGTAAGTCAACATTTTCGGTAACCGTGGTGGTTTAAGTGTGTCTTGTCTCGGCTGTGACAGACAGAGTGAGGTCAGTAGTCTGCTGCGATACATTACACAGCAGGCTGGTTAAAGCTACATCTAGTCAGGCTTGTTAAGTGTCTTACCCTAGACGTTAATATGTCTCAACTGCTGGGCCTGGTTGTTAGGATGGTTAGCTTTACCCTGACCGATAGTTGAACACCATACTCGGTCATTTATCAAGCTCAGGCAGTCCTACTCAAAATTGAGCCCTGGTAGTTAAATCGTTGGGGGTGTTTTTCTGTAGTTAGCTCTTAAACTGTATATATAGAGTTAGCTCAACAGTTTTAGCTTAACAGTGTTGTTCTTATACTTAAGTAAAAGTAGAAGTACCAGAGTGTAGGAGTACTCTATAAGAAGTCCTGCATTCAAAATGTTACCCAAGTAAAAGCACAACATTATTAGCATTAAAATATACTACTGATTATAATTATTTATACATAAAAGTGTTATCAAAGCTGGTAAAGGTGGAGCTAGTTTTATTTACTTTGTATGCTGTGAGGTAGATTGAAAATGTTATTCCAGGTGTAACTAAAGTCTTTTTTTAAAAGTGTGATTCTATTTCACATCGTTAATCCAAAGCTGCCTCTAGTCCGGCTTCTTAAGTGTCTTATCCTATCCGTTAATATGTCTCAACTGCCGCTGTTGTTAGGTTGGTTAGCTTTACCATGACCGATAGTTGAACACCATACTCGGTAATCTATCAAGCTCAGGCAACACTACTCCAAATGTAGCCCTGCTAGTTAAATCATTGGGAGTGTTTAGCTGTCGTTAGCTCAACAGTTTTAACTTGGTGTTATTCAGAGGTGGGAGAAGTACTCAGATCTTGTAAAAGTAGGAATGTAGGAATACTCTGATACAAGTAAAAGTATTCAAAATGTTACTCAAGTAAAAGTACCAAAGTACTTGCATCAAAATATACTTTAAGTACTCATTATAGAGATTGGCCCATTTTATTAAAATATGTATTGGTAACTATATACTGGTGTTGTTGCTAAATTACCTCACCAGAATGTGTATATACATTTCAAGTGATAACAGAGCAACTTATGCTGCGTGTTGATGTTTCCAGAATGTTTGTTAAACTGTCTAAAAAAAACTAAAACTGGCAATCCTAACAAAAACTAGCCGGCAGCTGCCCACACATAATGTTAGCAGCTAGTGTTACCGTGGGCAGTGGTGTAAAGTAACTGAGTACATTTACTCAAGTACTCTACTTAAACAATTCTGCTTTTTAGTTACTTTGTACTTTACTCTACTACATTTATTTAATAACCTTTGCAGATAATATTGTGAAATATGAACCACTACACTGTATTAGTTCTTCTACTACATTACTGAGTACTTCTTCCACCTCTGACCGGTGGACACACAATCACTGTCTTCTCGATTACTCGATTTTTTTTGTTTGTTAACTTCAAATATACCATAGCTTTGGATAAGAATCAAATGAAAAACATAGTGAATCATTTGGAAAAGTACCCAGTATTCAGAGGAAAGATGGCCATCTCCTTTTCCAACCCCCTCACTGCCATTAAAGGGGCATGTTCACTTGACAGCTTTAAAAGTGCGTCAATGTTATTTAACAGTGGATTAACACATGTTATGTTCAGAAGTAGTTTTTCAATGAGAGCTTTGGTCCCTGAAATGGCTCTGCTCCTTCTTGCCTGGCTTCTTGTGTAGAGAGCAATAAGTCTGATGTCGGCATCTAGTGTTTCAGCTTCTATAAATATTTGACAGGGAAACCCTGGCAGGCCATGAGGAAAGGGCCTTATCCCCAGCTCCTGTGGCTGTTTACAGCAGCACTGTGGCTGATAAGTGAGGGCAATACAATTGTGAACTGGAGACTAGTAGTTTTAGGAAAAGTGTTGGTGTGACAGACAGAAGATATTAGAGAAATCTCTCAACTGCTAAATTGTCATGGTAGGCAAATATCTGAATCCATAGGGCCTTCTTTCTTGAGAGATGTAGTCTCTTCTCATAATTTGAACATTATTGCAAGAAAGAACCTTTGTAACTTGTGTTTTTGCTAAACTGTGTTCAGCTATTGACTTATCAAATCAAAAGAGGCAAATGTTTTGGTCCAATACGTAAAGCATGCAACCCGGGATACCGGTGTCAAACTTGCATTGCTGGTGTTTAAGGGTAACTATTCAAACGTAGCCTTGATTATAACATCTGCCCCTGCACAAACTGGACTTGTGTAAACTAGCTACTAGCCTTCAGGTAAAATTGTATTCCTTTTTTTAATTTTTATTAAAGCAAACAGTCGAAATGATTTTTCCACAGTTTATTATTAATAGTGATTCGGATTAACTTAACAGACATGACTGTACAGGTGAGGTTTTCTCAAGCATCTTGGGCCCTATGGAGTTTATATTGGCAGGGCTTTCCTTAAGGAGTAGAGTGCTGCCCATATGTGTAGCGCCATTGTTCCACCTACAGTCGTGTTCGATACACACATGTTCCATTTTATATTGATAATATCTATCACGCACATATTCAGGAACACAACCTAAATAGTAACTCACCCCACTGGGAATTGTATTCCCGCAGTTAACGTGTACATTAATGACGAAAGAGGCAAGTTGGAATCATGTTTTACAGTTTAGTTGAACATTTTATTGACAATTGCCTCTTGTACAGACTTGCAGTTTCACAAACACTGAATTGCTCATTGTATCACCTTTCCCTACCATTTGAGTTAAAACCCTTACTCACAGTTGCAGAGAAGATCTAGGCTATTGAGTAATCAAATGTCTGCATGGTATAGCTGTGGGTGCTTTGATTGTTCAAGGAGTTTCATAGCACGAGGGTGATGCAAACATGTGTTGCACCATTTTGGGGACGTTACACCTTGGCTGCCACACATTTAGGCTGTTTGATTAGGTCTATTGAAGTAAGCTTTATCCAGTTAAACAGACATATTGGTGATACATGAAGGATGATGCAGTGTACTCTTCTTCTATCGGACACATATGAGGACCACACACACACCGGCACATGAAGGCTGTTGACAGCTTCTGTCACAGCTTACTCACTGGATCATCACACGATCACAGAAGATGAGCATACACCAAACCACTCGTGTGATGCAGTGTAATCATGCACAGGTGCTCCGCATGTGTATATGCTACAATAGATGACTACATAAACAGAAATGTCCTCATATTTAAAAGAGGCATATTGAAATTCAAACAGAAGAATTACAACCAACAATACGAACACATAGCAGTGCTAATGCGAGAAACTTTACTCTGTTACTTTACCATATCCAATATAGCTTCACGCTTATAACCAAAAGGTACATCGCGTTTACTTTGAAGTACTGGTTTAACATGTTTTGCTACATTCCTGCTAATATGCAAATTAGTGCTGCACGATATTCAGATTTCCTGGAAATGTACTCCTAAAAATACGTCCTAAATTCTGTAGGCTACGTTTTAAAGTGAAATGCCTCAACTTGGCGCACTTTGACAGCAAACTAAAGAAGGCAGAAAAACCATCTTGTTAACATCTGTTTGCTCTAGTAAACAGTGTTGAATATCAAAACATTGGTTGTTCATGTATGGTGGTGGTGGTGATGATGACCTGGCAGAAAGAAAAGTAAAAACCGAAAGCCACCTTCACCGGGGCATTTCCAAGACGCCTTGCTATATCCAGTTGCGGCAAACATGTAGGCGTTGAAGAAAAGTGGAGCCAGCTGGCTGTAAGTGCGGAAGAACTTGATTTGATATGCCTCAGTTTTCTAGAAGTGGTGCACACAATTTACACCTCAATATTGCATGAGATCATGTCAGTTGTAGGAAGCCGGAAATGGGGAACGTGATTAATATTCAATTTAATTTTGCAGCCTTAAGTTCAGATCAGCTTCAGTTCTCCTGTGCTTTGAGAAATAGCGTGTTGCTCTAACATAGAAAAGATAACCACTGTAAGGGTTGAAATGTCATTCCTTATTAAAATTAGGGGTTGACTATTAGCTTTTATTGCTGTCAGTGTTGCTCCGGTATCTTTTTAAGGGGAGCTGTGCCCCCTCTGGCGCTTCCTCATAATTCAGACACTGGCTGGCACCCAACAGCAGCTGTGTGCCGGGAACTCGGTAAAGGAAGAGGAAGAGAGCTACAGAACGACACACGCCTTTTCAATGTAAAAGTTGTGGTGATGCCAAGGATTTAATTAGACTGAGATTGTAATGTTTATTACGACCCAAATGTAGCTATTGTGTGACTGGAAAATGTGTGAACTCTGGCGGGCCCCTGCTTTTAAAAGGAAGCTTAAATCCTGTCTGGCATATGGCATAATATCTTTAAAAGAAATGTAGACTTAAAGGTGGGGTAGGTAAGTTTCAGAAACCGGCTCCAGATACACTTTTTGTTATATTCCATGGAATGCTCTTAACATCCCGATAGCAATGAATATCTGAAGTGCTTTGACAAAAAATCCATAAAAAATTTCATCTGTGGAAGCCGTGGTACTGTAAAAAGTACAACCAATCCGTTTAGCCGGCCCGGCTAAACGGATTGGATTGCCGCCCTGTCTGTCAGCCTTCCATCTCGTGCACGCACAAATGTGTCTCGTGCCGTCATTGGGCGTGCATTGCAGCCGTACTTCAATGACTCGCCAGCAACAGGCGGCCACTTTCACCAGTCTGCTGACGTCATGTTCGCGTTCATGTGTGTTGGAGGAGGTGCTCTGTAAGGAAGTCTGAAGGAAGTGACGGATTATTTTCGGCTGTGTACTTTCAAATGTTAGTGCACTCGAGCCGGTTTCTGAAACTTACCTACCCCACCTTTAAGCTAACAACACAAAAGTATAAAGCTGGAAAAGTTGAACTCTTACTCATGTCATTGTTACTTCCCCTACATTGTTAAAGAACAAGATGCTAAGCTAACAAAATGTTGACTCTTAGCCCAGATGTAAAGCTTTTTCAGTCAAGCAAT